AGGCATTGAGAGAGTCTGCAATAGTTCACACACTCGAGCTGGCTCCAAACGAGAGGGCCAGATGTCGGAATATGGCCGGCTCGCCATCGGGTCCTTTTACGCAGATGAGTTGGAAGGGGGCTTCATTAGGGTCAGTGGGTACTTGTCGGTAAGCTGCCGCGTGATCCGACTTGTAAATCGTCATAGGCTCGCCAGGTCGTGCTTAGACATTTTCCTCCATGCCACCTCCAACGTATGATGAGTCGGGAGAGTGATACGCTGGGTATATTCGGTGGCTGCATTAACCTGACTCCGGCGATAGTCGTCGCATAATCTCGTCTTATCCGGTTGTCTGACCGGAAAGCGCTTAGAGATGACGTGGCGACCGAACCTCTGGAATGCCTCCTCGTGGCTGTATGGGCCCTCCATGAGTCCCGACTCTACCTCAGCTAGAGTGGCTGCCCAAATCTCCTCGTCGAATTCTCCTAGACGGATCTCGTTCAGGGTTTTCCTCATGGATGACGAGGCTTCGTCCAAGAGCTGAGATGCTGTCAACCTCTTCTTCTTTTTCTTCTTCTTCGTCTTCTTCTTATTGGATTCCTTTGGGTCAGGATTTGACTTGAGCGGGGCGAAGACCCCCTTTATCTCTGGCATCTTGCCGATCACAGGCAGACCCTGTTGTATGTCCTTCGCCAGCTGGGTATCCGAGTATTGTGTCAGCTGTATGAACTCTTCTAAGAGAGGTAGGTTCAGGTGGCCACTTATGGAGCGGACTCCTTGGTCCATCTGGCAGCGCCAGATCTCGGCTGTAGGCCCTAACTCGGAGGCCCTGGCTCGCAGAGAGCCTAAGAGGCTGTGCCTCTTTTTGTTGACGGCCTCACTGGTCGCCGAAGATTGGTAGTCAATCGCCGCCAACAGAGAGTCCGGTAGCGAGGGTTTGCCGTCAAGCGGATGGGCCCTGACTCGATCTTGAGCTGCGTGGGCTTTGGCGTCTCCATCCACCGAAAATTCCCGAATTTTTGCAGTGTCGACCTTAGCGGAACTGTAATAGGATATGGGCTCATCCCGACCCTCTTTCGCCATGATCTCAGTGAGAGCGTCTATAGCCATGGCCCTTAGACGAGTCGGGGTTGTGTGGGCTTTCTTCCCACGAGGAGCTCTGGCATTCCATTGATGCCGACGTTTCCCCATTGGGAAGAATAAGCTTGATAGAGACAGTGTCTATCGATGAGTGATCCCCCTCGGTACTACTCAACTCAACAACATATCATAGTAGGGAAAGAAGAGGAGTATCCAGTGGATACTATCCACCGGGAACAACGCACTCGCGAGTGCGAACTGGTGATGTGAGGAGAGTGAGGTGGGGTGCTCACTTGGGGGGTCCCTTCGTCTTGTCGGCTTCTTTACGAGGTCTCTTCCCACTGTAACTATTGCGATAACCGGCGTTTGAGCCCCACCACGACTTGTTCTTCTTCTCCTTGTGGCTTATGGCGTCGTTGCAGGCCCCCAGAGCATCATTTTCGGAGAAGTCCGAGAGGAGTCTTAGTTCATTGGCCGGGTCTCCCCCTCGTCGAAGCGCCTCGGCGACTCTGTTGCAGGTCTTGCTGTGATAGAATAATCCAGCTACAGGACCGCCCTGACGAGACGAGAAGGAAAGAGAGTTGACTGCGAACATGGTGTTGGTGAGGTGGCTCATAAGCCAACTTATCTCGACAGTGGGAGAGTCGGGAAAGTAGGTTGATAGCAGGGCTGTCGAGAAGGCCCAACGCATCAGACAGACCACCATATCCGACATCAATAGGTTATCTTCATCGATCTTCTCGTTCTCAGAGGCGAACTTGCTGAGTGGTGTCGTCAATAGATGCACAGTTCTTGCCACCCCAGGTGGTGCCCAGCAGACTTCTTGAATATAGCGGTCAGAGGGGTGCAAGTCGTAGGAGATGCCCCTTAGGTGAGGTGCCTTTTTGAAGAGATCGGCTAACGTCACCACCGGCTGTTGCTTCTCACTGTTGGAAGGACGACCTCCCCCGCTGGTGAGGTTGTGGATGACCTGGATCACCTCCTTATCCCACAGCTTGTCGTGAAGAGACGAGGTGAGACCAGCATTAAGAGGGTCCCCATCAGCCTCGTTGGCGTTGTCGAGGGGAGCCTCCTCACGACTCTCGTTAGCGGCATGCTCGATGCCGTTGTTTGCGCCTTCATGAACGTTTGAGGGGCTGGAGTTGGCAATATCAGTAGTGTTTTTGGTATTGTCGTTGTTGGCGTCATCGTCGTTGTTGTTGTTGTTGCTTGTGGCGGTAGAGGGGGCGGCGGGGACCGAAGAACGAGACGCCCTTCTCGACCTTGAACCGATAGACTCTTCGACTCGGCGAGCAGCGCTGACGACTGCCTCTCGAGCGGCAGCTGATTCTCGTTCGGAGATGTCTCGATCTGCCATAAGGAGAAATGAAATCACTGAAGAGACGAGGCTGCGTAAAACCCCGGATCATCGTGAATAACCTGTTCCAAGGGCATCCGAGCCCAGATCACCCAACCAAGGGGCGGGAGGTGACCATACCGGGCGATCGGTCACCTCACAGACGGTCTACGAACCGTGAAGAGCAAGCCCTTGCTTGTCTCTTGAGCCAAGCTGACAGATACGAGTTTCTGTCGGCTTGCTCAACATACAATTGAGTATGTTGCACCAGCTGCAATGGTTGATCGATTTCGAGCTATGCACGCAAGAACAATTGTGTTCTGGAGCGGCGCATTTTTTCTGCCCTCCGCCCGGAGTCGGAGCTTGCTCGGCGTGGATTTTGACCGGTCAAACCTGTTTCACCACCAGTCCCTTTGTGACTGGAGGTTCCATGTTTGACCTTGCATCAAAACCTTCTGATCGATATTGCGCCATCGCACCTCGCAGAAACCGTTCAACCCATTTTTGTGTCCTCTGGTTTGGCAGAGCGATGCTTCACCTCGGCTATGAATCCTGAAGCACTCATCGACAGTTTGGCCGAGTGGTCCAAGGCGCTGGCTTTAGGCGTCAGTCCGAAAGGGCGTGGGTTCGAACCCCACAGCTGTCAGTCTATATACCTGACTGGTCTTATATTAAGAACCGAGACCCTTTCAGAAGCGAGGTAGTGCAAGACCAAAACCTTTTGATCGATATTGTGCCATCGCACCTCGCAGAATCCGTTCAATCCATTTTTTGTGTCCTCTGGTTTGGCAGAGCGATGCATCACCTCGGCTATGAATCTTGAAGCACTCATCGACAGTTTGGCCGAGTGGTCTAAGGCGCTGGCTTCAGGCGTCAGTCCGCAAGGGCGTGGGTTCGAATCCCACAGCTGTTAGAAAATTCTTTTCGTGTGATTTGATGAAGAACGCATTCCGCGGAAACGGTTCGAAACCGTTTTTGTGTCATGTCCTATAGTGTAACGCATCTTCTCCGCTATGATTTTTGAAGCACTCATCGACAGTTTGGCCGAGTGGTCTAAGGCGCTGGCTTAAGGCGCCAGTCCGAAAGGGCGTGGGTTCGAACCCCACAGCTGTCAGCCTATATACCTGACTGGTCTTATATTAAGAACCGAGACCCTTTCAGAAGCGAGGTAGTGCAAGACCAAAACCTTTTGATCGATATTGTGCCATCGCACCTCGCAGAATCCGTTCAACCATTT